ACCGGTCCGTCCACCATCTCCCAGGATATCTAGTCAGGCTGACCCCATCATACAATTATCAGTCTACACAATCTTTCATTTTCCTTTTCCTCAATAAGCATCATCAATTCATATTTAAACAAGCAAATCGTAATTCATGCCAAACAGACAACATACAGTATCAGTTATTCAGTCTTTCAACCCATAATTAATAAAACAGTAATATATGCACTCGAAACTATAAAATGAACACATCAAACCTCATAATGCATTTAAAGCTGTAAAACAGGCCAAATAACAGTAAATCATCAATCACACTAGACTCGGGCTCCATTAGCAACTTTAAGCAATTTCACACATGCGTTAACTAAAGAGATACTGTTTTATCATTTTGAACTTTAATACCGTGATAGGAAATAGGGTGAGGGGTCCTTACTTGTTTTCGGGATCCAAATACGATTCACAGTGCGCCTACAGGCCGTCCCTAATTTTCCCTGAATTTTTCTCGGGGAACTGAAACACACTAACGGTACCTGCACGTGTTCCAAAAAATCTCAAATTAGGCTCAGGGCCCCTTTTTGGCCAATATCGCAACTCTGGCACGGCGGCTCCGCCATGCTCCGGCGATGCGGCGGCGGTTTGCCTCGGGTTGGCCGTTTTCGGCCGAATTCGGCCACACTCGCATCAGTCCCTGCGAGAAAACAACCCTAGGGCCCTCGGGGGGCCAAAAAATCATGGAAAAACGGAGCTTACCGGCGGCGGCGCTCTCGGGTGCGGCGGCTCTCCGGCGAGGTTCGTGTTTTTGTGATTCGGCTCCGGTCAACCTGTAGAGAAAAGAATGGTGATCACGGTGATATAAAAATTGCATCAAACGGAGGCCGAGAAGGGCCTCATCGGAGGCAAAAATCGAGAAGGGGCGCGGCGGCGCCGCTGGGCTTCGGCTGTGTATTCCGGCCGTTTGGCCGGGATTTTGGCTCCGATTTGGCCACAGGAGGAATCAGCGTGGAAAAACGAGTCGGGGGTACGAAATTTACCTTGATCGGCGGTCGGAAATTCCTCCGGTGCGGCGGCGGGTGGCAGCGGCCGGCTTCTGGTTCGTCTTCTCCGGCGAGCGGCAGGCGGCTAGGGTTTGTGGTCTGGTGTGGGGGTTCTATTTATAACCCTTTGCCTTTTGATCTCAGCCGTCCATTTTGTTTTAATCTGGGCCGTCCGTTTTTGATTAAATCTGGGCCGTCCGATCGCACGCTTGATCTGGGCCGTCCGATCGCGCCTACGCGGATCGCCAACGTGGCCCTTTTTGGAACGACGTGGTCTTGCCACGTGGCAGGTCCCGGTTGGCCGGGACTGCTGACGTGGCTGCCGACATGGTTTTTTTTTTTTTTTTTTTCGGCCCCTTTCCGGGCGCTACAATTTTAGTATGAGTGAAATTAATGAAAATTTAAGTTTTTTTCATCCTTAAAAAAAATCTCAACAAGTGGTGTGAGAATTTTGATAGTCATGGATGTGTGAGAAAAAAATATATAGAGAAAATAAGAGAGTTTCATACATTAAATATGGTCTCAAATACTTTTTCTTTGGTTTCACCTCCCATTTTTATATGAGAAAATTATCAATTATGGGTTATGAAAATGCAAGCATATTTACAATCTTTCCATTTGTGGGATGTGGTTAAAAATGATGGTAAACTCCGATCATTATCATCTCATTCAACTGCAGCTCAACTAAATATTTATAGTGAAGAAAAATTCAAGAAATACAAAGCAAAAACTTGCTTGTACTCTTCAGTTTCTGAAGTGATTTTTATTAGCATCATAACTTGTAAAACTCTAAAAGAAATATGGAATTTACTTAAAACTGAGTATTCAGACAATGACCAAACCAGATTTATGCAAATTTTGAATCTTAAGAGAGAATTTGAAATTCAAAAGATGAAGGAATCAGAAGGAATCAAGGAGTATGTTAACAAACTCATAACAATTGTTAACAAAATTAAATTATTTCGTGAAGAGTTTTTCAATAGTAAAATTGTTGAAAAAATTCTTGTGAGTTTACCAAAAGAGTTGGAGTTAAAAATTTTATCACTTGAAAATTTTAAGAATCTCTCAAAAATTACAGTTGCAGTATTAATTAATGTTTTGCAAGCCATAGAGAAGAGAAGAGCAATGAGAGATGAAAAATAATTGAGTGAGTTTTTATCGCTATGATGTTAAACAAGTCTTCATCAGCATCAAAATAAAGAAAATTTTCATCATGCGGAGTATGCAAGAAAAATAATCATGATGAAAAAGATTGTTAGTATAAAGGTAAATCACAATGTTTTTCTTATAAAAGATTTAGGCAGATACAAAAAAAATTGTAAATTGAAGAATGAGTAAATAAATATTATTGAAGAAGACAAAATTCTTTTTTAAAATTTGAAGATAAGTGTTCCAAAGAATTTTGATGAGAAGTGTATCAAATAATTGAAAATTGATGAGAAGTACATCAATAATCGAAAGTTGTTGAGAAGTACATCAACAATTGAAGAAAAGTACTTCAAAATTTAAAAATCAAATAAGAAATATTGGAGAGAATTGCTCAAACAAAATAAATTTGGTGATTATAATTTATACATTAAGGGAGAATGCTGAAGATCAATGTACACATTATAATTTATTTTATTTATTAATTTGAATTTAAATATGATTTATCTTTAATTAGATTTGAAACATGTTTATTTTAAAAAATTATGTTATTAGTGGGAGTTTATCTTTTAGAATATTTGAATTATATTTTTCTCTTATATAGTAGTATATTATTTTTAAAAAATTTAAATTTGATGTAAATTTATTTAAAAATAATTTAAATTATTAATTTTAAAGTAAATAAAATTAATAAAAATTTAAATATTTTTTAAAAAAATTCCAACAAATAGCAAAGTTTGAACTCCTCGCATAGTTAGCCACAAGGTGACCTAGATTAATTGCAGCTGTTCCAGCATTTAGTTGCTCAGGTCTCCTTTCATAACTCAGTGGTTTAGACTGCACGTCAATCCAACTAATGCTTTCCTTTTCCATAATTTGAGATACCAATGGATTATATTCATGTGAGTCCAAACCAGTAAGCACTTGAGTCACCAAATCATCACTAGGCACTGGATAACCAGCCAAAACTAGATTGTCAGCAAGATTTTTCATGGCCTTCAGGTAGTCTTCCATTTTCATACTACCTTTTTGTGTTTTAGCAAATTTCCTCTTGTAAAAGACAATATTTGATCTAGTTTTAACTCCAAACAAATCATTGATAGCGTTCCACAGCTTCTTAGACGTATCAGAACCCATCAACTCAGATGCAACAATGGGCTCAATTGTGTTATATATCCAACCTAAGAGCATTTGATCTTGAACATTCCATTCTTCAAAATCTGGATTTGTTGTGACCTGAATATCTTTAGTTCCTAGCACAACTACTTCTGTGAACTCTGGTGGACAGATTTTGGCACCAGTTATGTAGCCTTCTAATTTATTACCTCTTATCAAGGGCAGTACCATGTTCTTCCACAACAAAAGAGTATCATGGTTCAACTTAACCATGGAGTATGAGCCCATTAGACTTGCAGACATATTCAGGGTCTTGATGGTTGTAATATTTTTTGAAGTGTTTCCTTCATTGCTTCTGCTATCAACAACAACAGATTCCTCATTACTACCGCCAGCCATGTTTGGCTCTGATGCTAAGAAAGAAAAATGAAAGGAATATGTTGGACAATTTTCAGCTTAATGTGCTGAGATGAGAGGAATTCAATTTATAGAATTTTACAGTGAATCAAAACTGTACAAGTGGTCAAATGAGTGATTTACAGCTTTCCATAAATGATAAAGTTTGTTACTACAAATTCTTATTGTGCAATGCAGGTTGTAAGCTGTGCAGTGCAGATTGTAGGTGCACTGTTAATGGTGTTCCTATTGGTTGTTTATTACATGTTTATTGACACGGTGCATATCGATAATGGTGTCTTTTTCATTATCAATGTGGTATAAGGTTTAATGGATGTGATTGACTCGGACCGCCACAATTGCCATATTTAGGTGAAGGGATGGCAGGTGAGTCAGTCAACTCAGTCGCGTTCATATTCATTTTTATGTTTCTTAACATCATTAACATTGTTTTGAGAAGTAGAACAAAAGCGAAAGAGATTGAAAGTCGAATGTAGGAAACTGATGAGAAAAAAAAATGGGAAAGTAGGGAGTTTGTTTATAATGATTTCAAATCTTAATTATTATAGAATTAGGAAAGGTTAGATTTTATTCTTATTGATAACCCAGTTTGATATCATTTAATTGAATTTTGATTAATCACATAATCCAATTCAATATATGAGTTAAATATACAATATGATTAAGTTTCTGATTTACCTTACCTTAAAAATATAGTTAAGAAAACTTTTTGACTCCTAAAAAGTGAAGATATTCTGAACACAGATGATTCAGGAAAAGAACAGAAGCTGATGGTGAGATAATATACACATGAATGATTAGCCAAACAGATGAGTCTGGCCGAATGGATTTTAACTCAAACTGGGCCCAGTTTTTTGTAATTCGAAAAATCACAAGTCAAAAGAGTAAATTTGTAAACATCCTCAATCAACGTCCCAAGTTTAGAGAATGGTTGTTGTCGTCAGAACAGAGAAGTAAAAACTATTCGTGACTTGCATTCTGAAGTGACTTTTCTTATTTGCCTTAATCGCCTACCTAATGCCACGTCTTAGCCATAGAGAAGGGATAGAATTTCTGCAATGTTCATCGAATTTGGGGAAATTTTTGTACGGATTGCTGCAGAACATTATTAATTTTTTTCCTTGGCAATCTCTACCCACCATTTCAAGATTTCAAATCTCGTCCATCCTGTGAGACCAATTGATGTTTGATTATAGCACTTTACGGCATTCGAAAAATAGCTTTTGTTTACCAGTTGGAGTTTTGTTTATGTTAAGATCACTCATTTTCTTTTTGTCTTTAAAAAATACAGGGCTTAGTATAATGTAACGCCTAAATGTATTACAAGTTGTAATTTGATTGAGTTACCTCAAATTATTCTAACTCTGGAAAGGAAAACACAATAAAAACATTCAGGAATGCTGAAACAAAAGATGGATGCAGAGCTATCATTACTCTCCTCATCGCTACCTTCTATTCATGCATCTAGTTGTAACGAGACAAGCCAACAAAAGACGTGGCTTCTCATCGGCACCTACACAAATGTATATCCCATTAAGTTCATTCCCTGTTGTTTTGCCCGGGAAGAGAGCTACCTTAATGACTGATGATACAGAAAAGGATGTGGAAGCAACATTTAGCCAGAAAAGGCTGCTGCTACTGCACCCCACTCCACTTTGCCCAATCCACGAACTGCATTCCACCATAAATATTGTTAGCAAATCTCACACCTACAGTGAAAGCCATTGCAACAGGTGGGACCCGCTTTGCCAAATGAGATGTTTCCACCAGACGTTCCAGTCCATTAATGATTTGATAACGAGTATTTGAAGAGACTCCGAGGAAAACACCTTATCCAGAAGCCAAACCAAATCAATAAGCAGAAGGGCATTAAAGTGTCTATATGTAACTGTGTAATATGAATATGCTGTCGAAATGAATGCATTCCAACCCAATCAAGCCAAAGAAGAACGAATACAAGAAGCTCCAACTACATTCGTACATTCCTAAAATGGTATGGAAGAGTATTCACACTAATTTTCTGGTCAAAAGGACAGAACTAGATTAATCAATTCATTTAATTTCCACAAAGTATTTAGACAAAAAAATAAACCATTAGTCATCATTTCAGTTTTCTCGGGCATTACATGGACAAACTGGGTCAAGCAGTCCCAAGGTTCATCTTAACAGTGTCAACTTGCGACATTGCTCGGGGATGCTGAAACCCATGTGTCCATAATTCACCAATGATGCAGTTAAGGTGTCTTAACAGAAATTGAAGATGCTAACAGCACTGAGAAAAGTAAATGTTAAAAGAGAAAAAAAAAAAAAAAAAAAGAAACACACAATAGATCCCCTGTAAAAGCAGAAAGGATATCCATGAATTTTATAATCTTCGCATCTGTATGAATTTAGCAGCTACAATCTGAAATGGAACTATGAACATACCCCAAAGTAATGCACTTTGCACAAGAGGCGGCACAGGAATGTCCTCTTCTGAATTCTTTATCCTCCTGACCACATGGAAAATCCAGTGAGCAACATCATCCCCTCATGCAAAAGCAATATGCAGCCAACACTAGAAAGAAACTAACCACAATAAACACCAGCAGAGCTTCAACCTATATTGCACACTTATCTGGTATAGATAGACAAAAAAGTTACTGAAAAAAAACCAAAGAATCCAGGGATGCAAAAGGGGGTGCAGAAGTCCGTTGTATAACTAGCAATAGGGCTGGGTTCCATTTATATAGGTTCCCTGCTGGAAGAAATTTGTTCTAGGAATCTTAGCTGGGACATCACACATCCTCGATCAATAAACTTATCAATCATAATGCACCATTCTTGCCAGGTTGTCCCTAAGGGAAATGAGATAAACTAGGTTATAAAAGCTATATTTCCTGAGCAAGGTGAAGCTATTTAAACTTCGAGCAGAACCAAGCAACTTGTCAACAGAGAGACATCTAGGTAGCACCAACTCTTAGATACAACTTAAAATCCAACAAGTACCGAAAAGCCAATTGATTTCATGTGTTTAATTAACATTCTCATACCAATAGTTTAAAACTAAAGTTACTGCTAGAAAAGCTGATGCGTACTATCAATATGGTGGCAGAATGACATTGAAAATCAAAGAATCCAGATAGAGGATCACCTTTTGGCAGTCATGATCAGATTTGCAATGCCTTGACCAATCAGGCCACAGCTAAACCCAACTGAACCATACAATAAACCCTGGATTCAAAATGTTGCAATAAGTTAATTTTCAGTAGTAATTAGTTAACTGTCTACCAATACTGGCAAGAGATATTGGCATATAGAGACTGAGATAACCTGGTTCTAAATAGGAGATCCATGAAATGAGAAGTGAAAATGAGAAGTGAAAATGAGAAATGCAAGTGAACAGGGACCCATTAACCAACACTTTGTGCTCAAACTAAGTAGAAGGTGACAAATTACTCAGAGGTTACTCAGTTATGGTACCTTGTAGAAGTATGCTGCAATCCTCTGCTTAACTGAGAATCTGCATCCTGGGCCTTCAGCTTCAAAAACACTGTACAGATAATGCAAAACAGTAAGTGGTTATTATTTCTATGAACTTATAAGGCTGCATGCAACTAGGATTTAGAATCCTCATTGCGATCGTGCCTGCAAGAAAAGAGAAAATAAACAAAAATGCAGATGACACACAAACCAGCATCTCACTATGCTAAAAGCTATTTTGTTGTGATATATACATGGAAAGTCAGAAACCTTCATTGTGGTCTCACATTCAAACTTAATCATGGACCCCAGGTAGGCCATGAATTCTTAAATGACTACTGCATGTCTCAACACCACCAAGTTGGGACAAGCAGACATCAAAACTGCAGTCATGGAGTAGAATCACAATACCTTCTATCTCTATTATCTTAAGTATAGACGGTAAAATCACTCACATTTGGCTGGACATGTTCATTGAAAGAAAACTAAATAAAAGAACTACATGTAAATAAAAATAAAAGAACTACATGTAAATAACCATTATTTAGTATTAAAACTATGATTTGCCTAGTAGCAAGGTTGTCTAACTAACAGAAGAAAAGGATTACAAAGAATTTTCAATACGAAAAAATTGCCACATGAAATACTAGCCTGCTGGGAAGAGCTGCACAAGCATGATTTATTCGTCCAAATAAACCAGTTGATGCCACAGAAGGCTTCCCGATACGAGCATATGGAGCTAACATACCAACCAAAGCAATGTCAACAACCACACCAACCAAAAGGTCAGCAAGGTACAATTCGAACTCTAACCAGAAATCTTTTCCCCTTTTCTGCATTTCTGCAAATGTTGCACAGCAAGAATCGATCACTATCTGCATTACAAGAAACATGGAGAAGTATGAATAAACACAGTAAATGCATAAGAACTGAAGATCCAAGCTTATACAGCCAGGATTCTATTTTCTTCCTTTTGCATAGATATGGCACCAAATATTTCCTTTTCCATCAAAAAGCCATATTGCTCACAGTAACAATGATTACAGACATTCAAAGAAACTAAGATGTGTTTGTTGTTGAAACTAGTCTGTCTTTCCTGTTCAAAATTTTTTTTTTGGATATAAAATTAGAGAGAAAATACAATCGATTATAAAATAATTTATATTTTTTAAAGAATCAAACTAAAAACAAACAATCTTGAAGACAAAATAGAAGGATTTTTCAAAAAACATTTTCCAAACATAACCAAAAAAATATATTTTCTAAAATTAAATAATAGAAAAAGAAACCATTTTGATTATTGAAAACTAAAATGAGTATCAATACAACCTTTAAAAAAAAAGTTTAAAGTATAAAATATAGCCTAGAACCTTCCCCAGGCATGTCTGAAGAATTGATGGCAGATGTGCTGCCTTACAACCTAAGTTAACTCCACGAAGTTATGATGATCCACTGACCTCCGTTCCCACTTTAAAAAGAAATGAAGGATCAGCTAGCATTCGGTTGCGAAGCATTGAGCAGAACTTCATTAAAAAGCCTAATGGCCAAACTGAACCCTGCATATGTAACATTTCAATTGGGCATCAGTGTCTATTTTGAACCAAGAAAGTGCAAGAAGATACGCAAAAGGAGCTTCCAACTAGTTGTGAAGTGAGTAAGTTTCAGTCACCTATGTGAGGAATCAAAATATTCAACCAACTCGCCCAACTATTGCTTTTGCACATATATATATATATATATGTGTATGTATATATATTCTAACTTTTATTCTCATAGAATAATGTAAAGGACCAGTAAATCGACTAGATTTTACAATCTCCATCCTATATTAATCAGCAACCTAGACAGCGGACGTCTAACTGTTCCTATTTTGGCTTACAGAAAAGCACACAAACTATTCAAATTTCAGGAAAGCAACAAGAAACCACATTCAAATTCTACCTCCAAGTCCAGATAACGAAGAAGGAACAGCTTCCGAATCCCAGTGGTTTTCGCCGCCTCCAACATATCCGATGGTAACTTCACCCCTCTCGATTCGGCCTCTCTCATCACCTCCTCAAAATTTAATATCGGCCCAAACTCCCTCTCCTCCTCCTCTTCACCACCACTATCATCACCACCACCACCACCACCTTCACCGTCACCTCCACCACTATCACCACGACCCCCACCTCTTCCTTCGACTTTTGGCTCGGTACTCACCTTTAAATCTCCAAGCTTCTCCTCGAAATCACCATGTTGTCCCTCACCGGAGCCAGCGACCATACTCTTAGCATCAGAATTGGATTCGACGCATTGGACGGGGTGATGGCGGGAAGAGGAAACCAATTTCAAAGAGATTCGCTGAGATTCAATATTAGGGTTTCTGTAGCAACAAAGAAGAATAGTCTCAGTGTCTGCATTACGGTTACATTGCCCAGCTAAATTAGCAGTACCATCGTTCACGAAGCTTGAGAGATGCCGTACTTTTAAGCTCGGTTCACAAATTGACATTTCCTTACCCGAAAAAGAAAATGACGTTTTGTTTATTAGAAACGATAAGAAATTGAAGAACAGAGAGGTTGATCGAGCAGGGTTTATGATCAGAACACCATCGAGGTGTTAATGTGATCGGCTACGGTCGAATCCACGAAGTCCCAACGCTGATTGGTTGCAGAAAAATGAAAAGTCGAAAAAAATTCGTCGCCTGAGAGATTCGAACTCTCGCGGGGAAACCCCATGTACTTAGCAGGCACACGCCTTAACCACTCGGCCAAAGCGACAGTTGATGACGATGAGAAGAAAGTAATACCTAAAAACCCATTGAAATTCGTTTCAATTCCATTCCTCTACCTACAAAGATGAAGAGAATAAACATAATGTGCATCAATCTAAACTCAGATTTACAAATATCCTTTTTAAGTTATCATTATCAACCTTTTAAGGACTCAAAACATTCTCCCATTTATTACAATCAATATTCCATTCAAGAATTCTTAAATTTTTTATCATCCTATAATGAAATAAATAAAAATAATAACAAAATGAAATTATTTTTATTGATAATAGTTTTTTTCGAAACAATTAAGATTACTGTATAACAATACCTCGTGACATTCTCATGAAATTGACGTTTAAGTATATGTTATTAGCACAACACTGGGTGCCACCCAAGAGAAACAACTTCTAACAGATCTTTTCTTACTAAAAAAAACTCTTTTGAGTCTTCATATCATAAGAGATTCAGAATTGCCCATGAACCTGAACATAAAGAGCAACAAATTCAAAAGCCTCTTTTTTTAATGCCAAACATTGGAAGAATACAATTGACGAAGAAAGAGCTTGAGATGAGTTGAATATCTGTACATAAACAGCAACATGAATTCTACAACCTCAACTTTCATCTTGATTCACAAAGCTGTACATGTATAACCCAAGAATCACACGACAAATTAAAACAAATCATATACTCCGCCTGCAAGTGAAATTTTGGCCTATTTACATGTATGATAGCTCCCTCCTCAAATTATGTCAAGATTGGACCTGTCTGCCCATCAGATATCAATTTGCTTTGCAGCATTATACTTTCAGTGACAGCCTTCATATTCAATTTTTGGGTCCAACAATCAACAGCTTCCAACTCTACCTTTCAAGTGTAAGTATACCTTTTGGTTAGCATGGGGAGGAGCTATTGGCCTATTTCCTGTGCTTGCCAAAGCCAAGTTCCACGAGAAGCAAGACTCTATCTCTTTTGTATCTGTCTTGTATGGCATCAAACATGGATGATGACTTCATTTTGTTAGCTCTCAAAACAGTGAGAAACTTTTCCTGTGTCTAGAATGACGAGATGTGCGTGATTGCTCAACGGATGCTCTTGGAGTGGGTCCAGTGCTTTCAACAATATCTGCCTGGGCATCCAAGGATCTCGGAAGAAGCTTGCACCCTATTTTCTTGGCAACCAAGTGAGGTGAACTTAGAGAAGTATGTGATGTACTGACTCTTTTCATCTCTAGTTTTATTTTACCAAATTCTTGTTCAAGTTCCCCAACTCTAGACCTCATCTTTTCCATGTCTCCCTTTAAAACCTGGTTCTCACGAACAACTGTCACCCACCCATCTCTCTGAACAATCTGGCCTGCTGCGTCACTTGGGATAGTGATGGCAGCACCTGCTGGAGCACTTACAGTGTCCAAGACATTGAGACAGCTAGCTAGAGCAGTTCTCAGATGCATCTGCTCAAAAAACAGCACCTGGAGAATGACTCTAAGTGGCAACCTTTCATTTTGGGAAGCATGAGCACAGGCATCTATGGACAGTTTCTGATAGTCAATAATGTTGCAAAGCTCTTCTTTATCCTTCTCTGATAGCCATGGGTGTGCCTGCACTGTGGGCAATGTGTTAAAGCTTATATATATATATATATATATAACTACAGAAAACAAGAATAATTTACTAACAAGAGTTGGTTGGAGAAGTTCACCTTGAAATAAATATCAAGTGCTCTGTATAGACCATCATGCAAAGGTCTTGAAATTTCTGGAAGAGCCTCTGCAAGGGATCTTATCTTTACTGGTTTCAAATTTACATCAGAAGCAACCTCGGCAATATAGTTATCTATCAATCTAGCAACTTTTTGTAAAGGTTCTGATGAAGGCGATGTTTCTGGATCCACTGCCAATGGGGAAAATGATGTCAACCCTGCCTCAGAGGACCTAAAATGATGGACGACCCGTTCAACACAATCTGTATCGTAGAGAGTATCAGAATCCGAATAAGTGGGAATCAAGAGACCATCTAGGGTTGCCAGCTCCAGCTGCATCCCAATTCTCCTCTCTAGAGAATTCCTACATGTTTCATTGACACCTAATATAAGTGCAACACGAAGAAGTCCCAAAAGAAAACGGCAGAAGGACTTGCCCTTCTTTTGTGGGAGAAAGTTTTCAATTGTTTCCAGCAAAACCTTTTGATCAACAGAAGCAGGTGTTAGGCTAAAACTTGCAACTGTTCTAGTTCTGCCACTCTTTTCATTCTGCCATCGGCTCAGACCTGGTATATACTTTCTAGCGTAATACATTATGGCAGCAGCCAAATTTTCAGGTCTTATGCCCCTTGCTTCCATGGTCTTGATGAGTCTTCCAAACATACTCATACTGAGATAAGAGACATCCTCGAACCACCAGTCAGATTCAGAGCTTCGGATTCTAGCTCCTGTATTTATTCCATTCCACAGTATACTTCCACCAGGACTCTGTCGACTACCATACATCATCATGGGCCATCCAAACAAACTAGGATCTGTGCAAACCATAACAGATAGAGCACTCAAACATTTGCTTACCATCTGAAGCTTGTCAGCCCTCAGCAAAACAGATTCGGAACTTTGAAGACACAATATAGTGTCCTTCCAGTTGCAAAGTACATTCCTGCGGAAGAAACTTTCAGACTTAGAAAGCAAGTTATCCTCCCCATATTCATTTGTCATTTCAAGGTAGTCGGCTGCACAATAAACCAAAGCTATGTTTCTTGATGTGAATTCCACGCGAGCACCATAGCAGAATTTAGCAACAATAAAAAAAGTGCCAGGGCCGCCAGGGAATTCTTCAAGTGCTGTGGTAGAATTCTTTTCACAGGTATTTCTCAAATCTTCATATATTCGTGCTATTCTTCCACATCTTGATATGAGCGGAAACTGTACAATCATGCATAGCTGTTACCTGACCTTTCTTTAGAAATAATACAAGTATAAATATTTCCACTATGACATTGAAGATTGATTCATACAACTATGTCACATGATCGCTTAGAAACTCAGTCCAGATTTCGGAACGCATCACAAAAAAGTAGAACAGGGTAATTTTTTATCTCATCATGTGATTGCTGCTTCCATTTAAAAGATCATACATTAATACTAGAAAATTCATGTACTTGTAACTAGATGAGTGAATCACGGACATATTAATATGTACTGCTAAAATCATTCATTGCCTTTCAATAACGTGTTACAAAAATAAAAATTTAATAATGAAGATGTTACTCAGAGTATCAAACACACATTTCCTTGTGCAATAGTGCAAAGTTTCGCTATCTGTTGGCAAAGGAAAAACATCGGATGCTACAGTTTGCATATTTTATTTCTTTATGGAGGCCATGAAGGTCACTTACAAATAACTGCAGCTCCAGATGCAAGGAAACTACAGGAGAAGTCATATCAACATTAGGACCATAACTTGGTCAACAATTAAAATGTCTTAGTGAGGAATGAAAATATAGATCGCAATACCATGATAAAATACAGCTGGAAAATAATATATTATTGACAGCAAAATGCTTGATATACTCCTTTGTACCCCACATATTAAAAGGTCAATCTCAAACAAACTTGGAAAAGCATTTGCATACCTATAATCTAAAGCCAAAAACGACAGTGTTATTGATCTTAAATACTAGCCATATTCATTTTCCAAAACATAATAAACCTGTTAAGGTAACAAGTGTGCTATTCATTTTCATATATCATATTCCCATTCTCTTCTTTTGACTTGGTAGATGGTACTTATGCATCAGCTAATTCTTGCATATACAGTGCTTCAATTTCAAGCCTTTTTTCTCAAACATATTTTTCAAAGAAAGAATTGCTTGAGCCATATCTCAGCCACCAATATAACTATAATGAATTACTAATTGTTGTAGAAACCAAGACGAGACCATAGCATCAAGCTGAAGCTAGATGAAAGCTCGTTGCTATGGTAATTGAAATAAAGTTCAATAAGAAAACAAAACCAAAATCCATGGGTTTTTTATTTTACAACAGTTCCCTTTTCTTCATTCATAATCTGTCCCAAATACAGATTTTTGATTTTATTATAAGAGCAGGAAGGATAGTTATCCTGGAAATTTTAACAACCTCATCCAGAATAAAATAACTAGCTTCTTGTCATCTTTTTTACTTATTTTATGTTAATAACTACCAACATTTAATACCTAATTTACAGGATATTTTATCATACAAATTGTACTTAAAAATACATATAAAAACTAATTATTAATGGTTCTCAACATCACTTCCCTCCTTTGTGTCGTGCTGGTTGTCAAGCGCAAACAGTGAGAAATTGGTGGATGGAGAAATTTATGACGGTTATTGTTATAATCCCTACTAATGGATCTCGTCATGGGATACCTGAAAATCAGTAGGAATTTTCTGATATTTTTTTGTCCTCTGTCCTTTACCTACCTTCCCCTAAGTATGAGTTCATTTAAAAAAAAAGAGAAAAAAAAAAGAGAGAACCAAACAGTCCCTTTATTAAGAAAAACTCAAAACTTACTAAATTTTTCTTCATTCATAATCTGTCACAAGAACATAAATTTTGATTTTATTGTAAGAGAAGAAAGGGTAGATATTGTGGAAATTAATTCCCTTATCCAGAATATAGTAACTACATCCTTGTTATCTCCTCAGACTTATTATTCTCTTAATAACTACAACATTGAATAACTAATTTAAAAAATATTTTATCATACTAATTACACTTAGATACGTATAAAAACTAATTACTAATAGTTCTTAATGTCACTTCCCTCCTTTAAGTCGCACTTGTTCTCAAGTTCAAAAAGTAAGAAACTAGTGCAGGAGAATTTTTTTGCAGTTACTGTTACGACCCCTACTGATGGATCTTGTTATGGGACGATGAACCTGAAAATCAGTAGGAATTTTCGGATCCTTTCCTGTCTTCCATCCTTTACCTATCTTATCAATGTATGAGCTCATAGAAAACTCAACAATATCTTGAGTAAGAAAAGTACTCAAAACTTTAATATTTTTTTTCCATTCATAATCTGTCTCAAGGACAGAAATCTTGATTTTGTTACATGAGGAATGGTAGTCTCGAGTAAGAAAAGTATTCAAAACTTAATAAATTTTTCTTCATTCAAAATCTACCCCAAGGACATAAACTTTGATTTTGACACAAGAGAAGAAAGGGTAGTTATTCTGGAAATATATTACGTTATGCAGAATATAGTAACTGCCTCCTTAGAATTTTCTTGAGTTATTCTTATCTTAATAACTACCAACATTTTAATACTTCTACAAAATATTTTATCATACTAATTAACTTAAATACATCTAGGAACTAATTATTAATGGTTCTTAACATCACTTTCCTCCAAATTGCTCTTGTCCTCAAGCACAAAAGATGAGTAATTAGTCAGAAGAAATTTGAGATGATTATTGTTCATCTTCATCTTCCTTATGTTTCTAGAGCTTATGGTTATATGGTGCCCATTGGCAATGAATCTTCAACTTCTGGCCAGAAAAGGAGTTTGCAACAGGGTCAGGCTCAAACTTCTCATTATAGTTGAAACAAAGTGCCTGTTCGTGTCATTCATCAATTTCTGACGCCAACAACCATTTGACCTCTGGGATTCGAGACAAAGGGGGCTGATTGCCTTGCTGGCTCTCATTTGGCAAAAGAAAACATTGTTTTGAGGAGGATACGCTGGAAAATTCTGAGGGTCATTGCTCATAATGTCGCAGGAGACTCATTGTTAATGTCAAATCATGCATATTCTGGAGTTCTATTTCCATAAGAGTGTCCTCCTTCAAACCACTCAAGAAAATGTCCACCTACTGCTCCAATGTGAGTGCACTGATCTGGAGTTCCACTTCAAGCCTGGCCATGAAACTCCATTTGGAAACACAGGGCCACCTAATGCATTTTAGCCCCGTTGTGCAATCCCATCCATTTGAACAAATGTACAACCTAAATCAGGTTGACTAACAGAAGCCTGCCACTATCTGGAGACTGAAAGACACATGCACTCAACTGCTAGTGGGGCTTGCTCAATTTGACCTATTTTGATTTCTCTGACCTTCAAGTTTGACCAGATCGATTCCTTTGACTGCTTCCCGCCTCAAACAGGCTAGTTAGTCTCTGGTTTAAGAAAAATTTCAGTTTCAAAATATGGTGACTAACGCTAAATTGAGTACAACGCAGAAGCGTACAAGGTAGACACTAATACCCTTGAAACAATACAAATTAAAATCAATACATTTGAAAAGAAAATAAGACATTTGCGCACTGCACAAATAGCTCCACCAGTTCAAATTTGCAAGTTGCCTAAGCTATTGATTGGAGACACATTGAATATAATGCTGGAGATATTACTACGAAGGTAAAATTCAAAGCTCTTGATTTTAATAGAATAGGAGACCCTAGTTTCTTCCTAGATTGTCTTATCTCAAATACACCAAAATCAAATTTGCCAACATGAAATTTGTTGGAGTTGCAAAATATATTGCCACAGTATCATGAGAATATAATTGGTAAAAGACAAGCATTATTTCAATTCATGGCAAGATTGAGGCTGAAAATTAAAAAAAAAAAAAAAAAGAATTAATTCAACAACCTCCTGCAACCATTGTATAAACTTATTAAGCTGCCATTGACATGAAAGAATCTTTTAAATATCTGGTTCCCAAGAAATATTAAGTTTTCGATTATGGAATCCAATCCTAAGAATACCTTTGAATCAAAAGTGAGCTGAAGAATGGATGTTATTTCCAAGACTAGCTTCCAAGTGTAAGTAAATTGTTTGCTTTAGGTGTGGGTAGAGTGCACACATTGGTTATCAATGCCCAAAGAAGAATAACTTCCATTTTGAAATGAAACAAAAGGAGAAGATGCAAAGGAAGACATGATGGCTATACGTCAGAAGCCTTGCTCATGGTTTCAAACTTGAGAGAAAGAGAGAGAAAAAACAGAGGAATCAGAGAGATTTTCCTGAGGTAATGTGTTTGATTTTCCGGTGCTCTTCATTCATATAGGAAAGGCCTATTTATAGGCTACAAATGGTAGGGAAAAAGAGCAGCAAAGAGAGGCGGGAACAGCCCAGAAGCTACAGCAGCAGGGAAGGGTCCTACTTGTTAATTTTGGTCAACAACTCCAACCCTAATTTGTACACATGAAAAGACAATTTTACCCCTATGTGTTCCCCTTTCTGCCTTTTCCTTTTGTAGTAGACCACCAGAGGCGGCTTCTTGACAATACCCTTCGCTTCGGTATCAATCTTGTCCTCAAGATTGAGATATAGAAACTATTGTTGTAGATACGCATAGTCTTCCCAAGTACACTCTTCTGTTGTAGTGTTTTCCCATTGCATTGGCACTTGTTTCACAGATTAGTGATCCTTACATGATGACCTGGTGTTACAGTACTTGTTGGGCCTGAACACTGAGTACAACCTCTCTTTTATTGACTGGTAAATTCTATATCATACTGTCTCTTCCTTTAGTACACTTCTTGGAAACTATTGATCCAATTATCTGTATTATTTGCAATGATCCATAGAAGTGCGATGATAACTTGGATCTTCTCACTTGCTTTACAGTATCTTACTTGTACGGTTGTAGTTTGAATAGCATCCAGTATTGTTCTTTAAAATTTCTTTCACAGCGATTTTTATCAGCATATTCCTTCAGTCGAGATTATATCTTCAAGAGTCGCTGTCTAATCATCTTTTTCATATCTTCTCTTTCTGCCAATAATTCTTCCACATATAGTGAAGCTGATGAAAAATCAATAGCATCCAAAAATTGAGGAGGTGCGTTTCCGTAGAGAGCCTGGAAGGGGATTACATTGAGGTTTGTATGGTAGGTCGTGTTATACCACCACTCAGCAGTGGATAACCATTTTGCCCATGTTTTTGATTGATCATGAGCCATACACCTCAAATACATCTCCAGGCATTGATTAAGCTGTTTGGTCTGACCATCTGTTTAAGGATGGTAAGCAATGCTGAAATGAAGGTTGGTTCCAGCTGCTTTCATAAATTCTTTTCATAAGAGACTTGTGAACAAGGGATCCTTGTATGATACTATGACTTGTGGCCCTCCATGCAACTTGTGAACATTACGGTACTTATTTTTCTACCTTTCACAGTCACCTAATAAGCATTATGCTTTTTATGTTATCAAATGCGAATATTAGAACAAGAATGCTTAAGCTACTTATAAGTATCAAATAAGAAATCTCAGACACCCTTTGAGTCTATTTTCATCCGAAAAAGGTTTGCGAGGAAGTGTCATAGATGCCTTCATAATCTTGCTTTTGATAAAGTTCATTTATTCAATACAAAACGTTCTTTGGCAACTTTCTCAATTTTATAGTTATGCAATGCAATCAAATCCTTAAATTTGTCGCTTACCAGTTCTTAGATGTGATACCTAAGATACCTAGGTGTAACATCTAGATTGTATTCCCAAATTCTTAATAGGCAAATTAACCATAGTTTGTCATAAATTGCTACACATCAGCTGATTTGGTTGAAATATCTAGTTTATGAACTTTATTTTACACCATCACAACCCATGAAGTTACTATGTGATAAGCAAATACTGATCCATGTGGCATCAAATTCAGTTTTTCAGAGAGAACTAAATATATTGGGGTTAATTATCATTTTATTTGAGAAAAGCTTCCTATATGTGATTCAAACTACCTATGTAAACTGAGTAGACCAATTAGTTGAAATGTTCACAAAATCCTTAGAGGAACCCCTGTGGAGTTTATTTAATGAGCTTGATGCATATGATATATATGCTCCAAGCTGGGGGGGGGTATTAATATATTATACATTTCCTATATAGTTATGTACCAGTGTAGGTCTTTCTTATGAAGTTAATTTTCCTATTCATTTTCTTCCTTTATTGGCATAAGAATCCCTACAAATACATACAGTTTCTTTCTGACATCATAAACATCAAACTATTTTTACACCAAGAAGTGGGGAGTCTTTGAGAGGGGAATGAACAGCGTACCAATTAAAGCCCTTCAATCCAGACAGGTAAAAAGAGAAGAGGCCATTTCTTTCTGGGTGCCCATGGCCCCAGATTAATATTCTGAGAAAATCGATCCATGAGTAAAAGAGTATGATACATTTGGGCCATATGCCTCTTAGCTAAGACATACAACTTCAAGTTCAATTATAAATTCTCAGTCACAGACGATCATTAATCATGTCATGTAACATTACTCAAATTAGGAGATATTTCATATTAAGAACACTGTGTCAATGATTTTTTGTCTTCCCTCCTTTTGGTGGTTAACTGGTTCCAAGATTTTAGTAAGACAGAAAAAAAACCATTGCCATGCCAATCCTGATAGTATAATAAGTGGACCATAGCCAGAGAGTAATCAGAATAATTAGCAGCTGGTAAGAGCAAACTCTGCCCAAAGTGAAGATAAGCAACGGATGCAACATTAAAACAAGTCTAGGACTGCTAAACTAGTTAAGGGAACGGGAGACCCAAACTCTAACAAGTGGGAAATGGGCTTACCTTATGAAGATGAAAATTTACACCATCCACAACTACAGTGATGTCACTTGGCAACCCTGCACTGCAGAACCTGCCACCAAACGAATATATATATTACGGCAAATATATATGTATGAATAACATTTTCATCCAAAAAACGATCCCTGGTCTGCTTTTTCATTCAACCTTCCTAAGTTGTCTGAAACTGATAAACGGGAGAAAAAAGAAAAAAGAAAGAAGCATTGGTACAACCTTAAAGAAATTTCTTATAGTTCAGGATTTGATAAACCCTATATGAAACCAATAAAGATTTAATTATACGTCAAGAACCAAGAGAAGATAATTATAAGCCCAGAAAATCCTAAATTATGTTACCCCAAAAAGGAAACTACTAGAAGATGCATATAGGGAATGTAAAAGCGAGGGCTAAATTACCAGTCATTTCCTTCCTTGCGGAACTCGGTGACCTTTCCAGCAGGCGCCATGGAAGAGGGAAGAAGAAAGGCACAACTTCAATTATGGTATACAACAAATCCAAAAACACCCATCGAAGATCAAACCAAACCCTCAAGAAAACCAGCAGTGTTACCACTTCATCACGATTGAAATTCAAATTAAAGGGAGAAAATGGAATCAAACGGCCATAGAAAAAGAGCTAAAAGGGTCAAAGGAGAAGACTCAGTAGGTGGACTTTACAGCTCAGAGCAAAGAACCCAAGTGCCTGTTTGTGTACACCCCACAATGCTACCACAACCGAGAACAACAACAAGAAGTATCATGGACCATACACCACGATACCCACCAACAAAAAGAAAGAAACACGACTAGAGAAACAGAAGGTGAACTTGTATACTATTATATTATATAGAAATAATAGAAAACAGAGGGAACCACAATGGATCATGACACTTGACCGGCAAAAGTAAAAAACCATTATCACAGTAAGAAAATGATAAAACATTTGGTGAGAGATTCAAAGTAGTGGGTCTATAAATTTACTATTCACCACCCAGAGAAAAAGCAAAACAAAATAGAAAAGAAAAAAGAACGAAACGCGTTCATAGCCGGCAAGGGAAAAAGGGAAAGAGACACGAGAGACATGGAGACAAGGGAAATGATGAAGGAAAAAGTAGCTATGACAAACTGTCATTGGAGACTGCTAATATTACAACTATTCTTCTTCTTCTTCTTCTACTCAAAACCTTTACAAGATTTTCTTTTCTCCCTTAAAAAAAAAAGAAAAAGAAAACAAAAAAAAAACTCGAGCTTTCTTTGCCCGCAAGTGAAATTAAGTGGACAGAAGAGATCGGGGGAGCAGAAAGAGAGCACTTTTGGTGCTTACGTCATGGTGGCAACCATTGTAGTCGCCTGTAATATCAACCAAAAGAATTGAGTTTCTCCGCTCTAAAAAGATTTATTTACCATGTGGGGTTTAATTAAGTTCCCTAATAAATATTATATATTTTAATATTTTTGTACAAAATAAAATTTTATAAAGGAATAATCAAAATATTTATGTTGCAAAATAATACTGTAAAAAAAAAATCTTATATCTCACATGAAGGCAAAAAATTTTCATTGTAATTTAATCAAAAAATTAAGTTATAAAAAAAAAACTTAGATATAATATGTTAACATGCACTAGATATATAATATCATAAATAAAAATTATATATTATTTTGTACAAATCTGTTTAGGCATTATATACAAGATATTTAAAATAAATGGAATCCTTACTTTTCTCTAACATTTAAAAAAAAAAAACTTATCATTTCAAATAGGATAAATTTTCTTTCTTGACTCTATATTCTCTTATGCACTTTCCAATTAATTTATCAATATGTCTAAATTTATTCTAATTTTTTTTCTTTAATTTCATACAAGTAATTAATTAAATTATTCTGAAATTAATCTTATCAATTTTATTATAATATTATTTAATATTCGACTAATTAAAAATATTTTTTAAAATTGTAGTTATCTTTATTGACTGTGTGAGAGAATTTTCTCTCTTAAGTGGCCAACACTAAGTCATTGGAACGCCAACAATGTCATTCTTCTATAAATTATAAATTATATGCTATAATTTAGGTCATGTTAGAAAATTTTATCCAACATGTAATAAAAATCTTAACCAACTTTTCTATTATATAAAGAAATAGAGGGTATACACTGAGTGTTTACTTATATCAATTATCAATAATTAGTATAAATTTTGAAACATCTAATTGATCATTCTTATATTTTAGAATATTATATTTAGTATTAAATAATATATCCAAATAAATTATGGTTAATACAAGATAAGATGTGCCACAAATTGTTCTGAATGGAACAAATTCTGATGCGAAGCGAAAAGCGCTCGTGGCCTAATGGATAAGGCGCCTGACTTCTAATCAGGCGATTGTGGGTTCGAGTCCCACCGGGCGTGTCTTTGAGATTCGGGTTTCTGTTAATTTATTTTCATTAAACATTTTTCTAATCTTTTTCTAGTTCCAGATTTTCTTTTTTTTTTTTTATTTATATATAGAAAAAATTGTTTCTTTCCTAGATTATTTTTATAATAGATACAAAACTTATGCAAATTTTATTGAATACTAAAATGTAACCTAATTAGAATAGTATGAAAATAAAATTCATCTAAAATTTAATACGAAACTAAAACAATTTACTTTAAATTTTAACAAATTATCCCAATGCTATACGAAAAGTCATATGAACTCAAGTTACATCATTTTATTTTTATTCTTTTTGTTTTTGGGTCTTGGACATGCTTATATTTTTAAGTGCTTAGCTTTAAACTAGAATCATGGGTGGGTTGATAATCGGTGATGATTCAAAATTTTAAATATTGATTGGGCAGGCAATGTTAATAATTTTCTGGATTTTCCTTTTCAAATCAAATGAATAGTTTCCTTGGGGTACTTTCTTATTTCTTTTCCACTTCCTTGAGTACATGAATATAGATGTCATGTTTGGACGTAGCCTTTGATTCTTAATTGTAGACTATTATAAAATGGGGTGGTGCGATTTTTGTCTCGTCTTGGAAGTTCTATTTTTGTTTAAATTTTGTATTGCATATTCTAAAAATATATATATATATATATATATATATATAAATCATATAATACTGTATATTTTAAAAGAATTCATAGGGAATCATGTAATACGATTGTTAGAGAGAAACCTACTAAGAGAACCCATTGAAAGAATTGTCTACGCCTCTCCTATAACTCACAAAAAACTTCTCAAGGAATCGTCTATGCTCCGATGAGTTGTAACGTTTAATTCTTGTGTTTAACCATTAGTAATGTAATGTAATGTAATATAATATTGTTAATTTAAATATATTAATAGTTTAATTTATGTTTTTTTTAAAAAAAAAAGATTAATACGTGGACACCTCATAATACCCATCCAAAATTAAGTTGTATCAGTCTTTGATAAGCACAAATGTTCTCCAAACTTTTATTTCTCAATCTTAAATTTAATTTTATTAATTGAAAGTATTTTTAGAGTTTGGTTTTCAAATTCTGGAAAGTCCTCTATAATCATCGACATGTAAACACTTATTGAAATCTTATCTATTCAAACTAAAAGTATTGTATTGTATTGTATTGTACTTAAAGTGCAGCCACGTGTTATATATGAAAAACTCCAATTCGCAGGGTTAATTTGCTGAAAAAATTGGCAAAGTTTGATGTTTAAGAAAAGGGAACTATAACACGTGTTTGGTTAATCATTGCTATTTATTAATATCCTTTAACTTGGGTTTCTTTACATCGGCCAAATGATGCTCGTCAGCAAGTAGCGGTGTCACGATAGCCTTAAATCTACATTCTTCACCACTCTACATAACCACAATCTTCATTTAGCAATGATCCATGTTTTCCTAGTTATTTGTGGGGAAAAAAAATAGAGCCATTCGTAGCAAAAAGACAAATCAATTACTGATGCCAACGTAATGACAAAAAGACAAATTTTATAATAATAACACTGGTGACAAGTTGACAACAACCAATGACAACTAAATAACAACATCAAAATCACTAATAACTGCCAGTCCGTAAAGACATTTGATAACACTTTTTAACAATTACCTTTTTCCTCTAAATTAACAAAAAAGTACAAATTTATGATTATAAATCGAATATGTACATAAATTATCATATCAAATAATTAAATCTTACAAACTATATAAAGATATTACAAACTTTAACCAAATTCAATGTAACAGAAGACCAACATTCACTGTTAACGTTCCACCCAAAACCCCATTAATTGTTTAACAACCATTTTCTCTTTATTCTTACAACAAAATTTATAACATTTAGTTATAAAAAGACAAAGAGATGCCAATGGGAGAAAGTATGCATAAAATTAATAAATAATAATAAATTATGAAAAAGAACATGCTGCTGAGAGGGTTAAATCAAACTAATACAACACACCCCAGCACAGACCAAAGAAGAGGTATGAGAATCAAACCCCCAAGGCAACAAAAACAGCTTTCCTTGTATAAATGCTCCCAACATTTTGTAGCCCAACCTCCTGCTCACAGATTACAGTAACAATATATCTTTCCCCTAATGTCTTCTCAAGATAGGGTAGTTTTCCAACACAATTTTCTTGCTGAGCTACAGAGAGCTATTGACTACCAATATTAGAAAGACGACAAAGAAAAAATGTAGTGTATATGCAAAACGACCATTAAGATATATTTAAACTTTTCCTTCGAAAGAATTGGAAACATCCACTAGCAAGCACATTTAAGTGAGAATCTCATTTAAATGGGCCAATCCCAACTACTACACCTCCTTAGTTGGTAGCTGGCTTTGATAAACCTGCTTGATAGCCTCCGCGTAAGTCCTGTGCTGGTAAGTGAGGGTTGATTCAAGCAAGTCCCAGAGTGATGTCTTGGGGTTCCACCCTGTTACAGAACAAAGAGCAGTAACAAAAATCAATTAAGGCCGTAAACTCAGAATTTATAAATCCGAAAACAGATATTGGAAGCAGTGAAGCATGTTAATAAATACCAAGTTGTCTATTTATTATCGTCATGTCTGGAATTCTTTTGTCACTATCATCATAGCCCTCGCCATAGAATTCTTTTGAGCTGACATCAATTGTTGGAGAATCCAGAGCAGGATCTCCACTAACCTTGGAGTAGACCTGTTAAGTATAAAGTGCAACAAATTCTTTGTCAACTCCAGTAGCCTACAGCACCCAGAAAGAGAGAAAGAGAGAGAGAGATAAATAAATAAACCGACTGTCACAGGCTCACCTGAGTCATCATTTCAGCAAGCTGCCTTACTGTAACTTCATTGTTCGGATTGCCCACATTGAAGATATGGCCATTAGCCCTGGACGGGTTTTCCTAGAAAGAAAGGCCACAGTGCTAAGACATTACCTTTGAATACCACAAAGGAAATAATAACAATAGAAGAGACAAAGAAAACACACAATCATCAGGTGAACAGCTTCAATAGCATCTTTTATGTAAACGAAAGTCCTCTGTGATTGTCCACCATCAACAAGCTTGAGAGGCAGACGGCGTAGGAGATTCTGAGACATAGACAACAGTTTTAGAATTTTGTGAAAGAAAAAATATTGACATTTTGAGAGGTTCTCATCAACTTACATTACTAAAGCATGCAAGAACTCTTGGAACACCCTCACTTGGACCATCAACCCCTGGAATGAAATCCATCCTGGGTCCAATCCAGTTGAAGGGCCTCACAATGGTAAATTCAAGGCCATTCTCTGCACCCTCAGCTGTCAACAAACTCAAAGTCAGTCAGAAGAATTGGTCCCAAGTATCTTAAAATCAGCCAGTTCAGTGGATGAAATTGCTTTACCAAAAATGAGCCTCTCGATCAATTGCTTTGCACAAGCATATGACCACCTCTGCTTCTCAATGGAACCAAAAATGCAAGGGGATTCATCTTCTTTAAGAACGTAGTAAGCAGGATCCTGTTGCAAAACAGCATGCACTCAACACAAAACTAGAATATAGTAGGTGAAGGCAAATATGTAGCTGAATTGTACTTGAGTTCATAAGATAGGATATTTAATTGCTAAGGACAATCACAATATTCTCTTTACAAACCAATTTAGGAATGTTTAAGATTCACTTCAAAGAATGGACGAGGTTTATTGGAAGCTTTGGAATAGAATTCTGAACAATTGAAGTGAAGGAAAAAGAGCAATGACCAGAACTTGAGATTGCTTCTTTGTTTTCTACCATTTTTTGCGATCCAAAATAATGACTTTCAAATATCATAACTAGCAATGTCAGATAAAAAGAAGACCTAAAATTAGAAGATGAATACCAAAATGTTAGCAAAAAATTGAACTAATTGCTTATCAGCTTCTAGTTTAGATGTTCAACCTCTATGGGTAGTTCTGGTATGTATGCTAACCGCTAATCCTTTTTTCAAGACAGAAGATAACCTGGATAAAAAGTTATCAAATTCAAGATGAAAACATATTTTTCTTTTTGTGCATGTCCTAGCCACCCTACCCAGACATCAAGAATACTGACTTCAATAAATTGTCACCCCTAATAATTTAAAATTAAAACTTTTAGTTCCTCAATGCTCGGATGTGAGTCACAAGGATACAACCGTTATAAAGATATCATATCGCATATTGTTAATGGCTGACTGTTAAACAATGAAACAATATATATTCTTATGCATTAGTATTGTGCAAATAATTCATTTAATTTTGGGCAATTAGGCCTTGGGCTCGGAGAAGATGCAATTTGTCTCCATATAGTTCAACATTAGGCGGTAAACCATTTTAACCCATAACTCTTCACTATGCTGTTCTTAATTTGGAATATGCCGCTAACTATTTTGCAAATCAATGCCATATTGTTCCATGTAATGTTCAGATCAAGACATTTCAAGAAGGATACAATCCAATGATATAAAGCAGCCATATTAAGGAATCATGATCTACTGTATCCAGAACAATTTTGGCAAATGGTTAAATGAAAGTGATAAATGGAAATAATTGGAAACTGAATACGTGTAAGCAAAAGGCTAACCTGACGGAGGGGATGATCTTTAGGAAGAAAGCTACCGACAGTTTTCCCATACACTTCACATGTGGAGAAGTGAATTAGACGCTTGTTGTTCTCTGAACAATACTTAACCTGGGAAAGAAAAAAACAGAAAGGTAGAAAAGGACCCACACATCAAATCCAAAATCAATATTAATTAATTTCATTTGTAAGAACTAAATCTTTAGCATCGACGTCATTGATTATAACAAGAAATACAAAGAAATCGATGGACACGGCATTTAAGAAAAAATTAATACCACAGGGAGTGCATCGATGAAATTGCTGTAAATCGTGTCAAGGGGACGAGTATTATAATCCGCAGGGGTACAGATCGCCGCAAGATTTATTGTCTGCGCCACAAAAAAAAGAAGGCAAAGATTATTAAGTTACGAGGCAGAGCAATTCACGAAAGGAAATCACATTGAAAATGACTAAAAAACGATAAGACAGCCACAATTGTAACACCTATCACTTATCATCGAAAATTGAACCATTAAAACACACATACAAGCAAAAAACATGGTTTAAACAAGATAATTAAGCAGATTGCTAGGAAGATAAATGACTAAAGAGAGGACGACGATGCAGGAACTAGATCTGCGTCCTGCAAAGTTCTTACAGAAGTGTATGAAGACATAACTAACAAATGAAAAAGGAATGTATGCTAACACACGAATTAACCACAAACCAGAAATAGAAATTTGCTCGCAAAAGAACACAACACCACAACGATAATTTGCGCATGCATATGGGAAGAGAAAGCAACAAAGGGAGAAAAGAAAACGAAACGAACCAGATCTGCCATCTTAATGAGACCTTCAAGCCTGGAGTCGTGCTTGATGTTGAGGCGGTGGAACTGGATCCGATCGGCCCAAGGCAATGAAGAAGGCTCAAGGAGGTGCTTGATCTTGTCATTGTAAACATCGAGGGCTAGCACCTTGTGCTGAGTCTCCGCCATAAGCTTCTCGCAGAGGTGGGATCCGATGAAGCCACCGGCGCCGATCATGCATATCGTCAGCGGCTTGACCGGATTCCCGTCCAGATCCAATCTCACAGGTGCCGTCGCCATTCCGATTGATCTCTTCAGAAATGGAGAAGCCTCGCTCGCGGTTGTGGTTTCTCTCTCTAGATAAATTTGATTTCTGAGATTGTGGTAGTAAGTGAGCAGCGCGCCGGAGGGAGGGGGGAGAAAGAGAGAGAGAGAGAGAGAGAACGAGATTTGGATTGCGAAAGCAAATGGACGTGTATATTTAAGAGGGAAAAAGAAGAGAGAGAGAGATGACAAATTGCTACTCTCACGCGTAATCCGAGTTCTGCCACTCGCTGTAATAATTCACCACGTGGAATACAAATCTGTTACTGTAGTCTTCAGAGCAGTAGATCTTGACTTGTAGAGAAATATTTAATTTTAAAGATGATTAGATTAATTCATAGTATTGGAAACAATGAAAGAGAGAAAAAGGAGGGGATGCAATTATTAGCTTTCCAGGTTGTTAATACTCCAACTGGCGTCCTATTTCGTTCGGAAATGATAAGACCATGGAACATGGCAAACACTATTTGTCATGCTGTTCTCACAATAAATTATCTTCTTTTTTTTTTCACAATTTTGTATTTTTTCATAATTTTATAATTTTTTTTTAAAAAAAAACTATTCTCTTGACCAATATATAAACAAATTTGAAATTTATTTATATAAAATTTAATACATTTATTTTAATTAAGAGAAGGACAAAATCTATTAATTGATAATAAAACTGAGCTTATATTAAAATTTTATGTGGAATTAATTTTTTTATCATTTTAAATAAAATTTTTGTTTTTTTAATTAAAAAATAATATAAATCTGTGAATAAAGCCTATAAAAATCTGAGATCACAAATGATTGTTTATAGTTTGAAACAAATTTTATCCATAATTGAATTACTATATTAGAGTTTGCATCACATTATATTGTCTCTATAAAGTAAATTGAACTTATTTCTGAAAAAAAAAAATTCTCTTATTTTTATTTTAGTTTCCTTATAGTAATTATTTTTATGCATAGTAAATCAATTAATTTTTTTTAAAAAAATATTATCTGTCATTTTTATTTTTATTTTGCTACACTAAATAAAATATTTGCTTTGTCCTCATTGATGGAAATTGCAAGTAGCTCTCAAGGAAAGTAATTTAAAAGAACGAATAATAAGTTAATATGTTTATTGTATGCAACTTAAATTTTTATTTAATTATAGTATGTAACGATCCTGAAAATTTTAAAAGAAATAAATTATAAATTTAGTGCGAAAGCGAAAATAAATAGTTAATGTTTATATTCCTTACACAATAACTAAAAGTACTAAATGAGAATAACCCTTCTAAAAGAACAATTAATAACCAAGGAAAATAAATTAAAAGTAAACGACTGAATGTCCTACTTGCAATCATTTTGTGGATTGGGCTCTGGATTCTAGTTCTCTTGATTTAAAATAGTTAATGAAATAATGAGCTACACTAACCTAATAAGAATATCACGCTACTCACCCACACAGAAATGAATGTTAGTAGAAATCATAAAAACAACTAATAAAGCTCTCAATTAAGCAAAATTATTTATTATAAATAAAACTATTTACCACCTACTTATCGTAACGTCATTTTCAAAAATCAAACCTATAGAGACAGTAACATAGCACATATTATAATTTTATATGCAATCAGTTGGAACAATAATTTTCTCTTTTTTCAGCCTACTAGTATCTATGGGGGTCCATACGGATATCCTCACAACGCGTGAACCATTTCCTTTAACATTTTCAATTAACAGACCGTCCTCATACCCCGTTCGGTATGAGCACCAAATTACTAAATCTCGATACCATGTTCGATATGAGGGTGAAACGGGCCCTCTCCATACCTCGTTCTGTATGAGCGCCAAATTACCAAACCTCAATATCCTGTTCGGTATGAGGATAAAACGGGCCATCCTCATACCCCATCCGGTATGAGCACCAAATTACCAAATTTCGATACCCGTTCGATATGAGACAACGTTCACAGTAGAGTTTTTTATGTACCCGATCCGTTCACCATCTCTCAGGATATCCACCTAGGTAGGACGCATCATTGTCAGAAAATCCTGTTCATAAAGTCCATGAAGATGATTGGTACGTTGGTTGGTCAAAATGACATGATCAGGAACTCATAGTATCTGTACCTGGTTCGAAAGACTATTTTGGGAATATCTTCTGCCCATCTTTACCTGATGGTAACTTGAATGCAGGTATATCTTGGAGAAGACTTGGGCACCCTGCAACTGATAAAAAAAGTCATCGATCATGGGAATGAAGTACTATTTCTTGATCGTGACCTATTTAGACATCTGTAGTTAATACATAACTTCAACGTCCCATCTCATTTTTTTGCAAATATGACTCCAGCACCCCAAGGGGACACACTATGTTGG